AGATGTGTATTGGGAACCAGACTCCCATCCCTGCCCTCCTAAGTTCTGGCTCCCTTGCCAAAGCTGTCGACAACTTCAGCAGCACAGCCAAGAGCCATGGGAGCTCACTCCTGCTTTTTCTCTAAAAGCAGGAGTTTGCCTGAACAGGAGAATTCCAGGACCCCAAATTTAGGAGCAAGCAGATCAAACATTCCTCAGATATCTATTTTATTTCTGTGTTTTAAATTGACGACTCACATTCCTTCGTTGATCTCGGATATTAAGGTTTGCTTTTGGATCAAAAACCATCAGCAGAAATTCTTGTAACTGCCTCAAAAGATTCTGGACAAATATTTCCCTTTAACTGCAATGAGAACTGGGCATCCATATGCCCTACAGAGCCATGGAAAATTTAACTTTTAAAGGATTATTCACACAGGAAAGCTGCACCAGCTTAGCCAAAGCATTTATACTTCTTCAGACCTTGATGTCCTAAAAACTAGTTGTATTTTGGTTTACTAAAGTTGATTAGGAACAGATTTTTTTTTAAAACTGAAATAAGCCACTTTTAAAATGAAACTTGAACATCTAAAGGGAATTTGAGTCTTTTCTGCACATGCAAGATGTTTTATCCATTCTATTTTTTTCCTCTGCAGCATTTTCCTACACATGCTTCTTAAAACCTGCTACCATAGAGACCAAAGCTGGCTTTGTACCTGTGCACGTCCTGCACTCCAGCCAAAACCCAAATTCAGTATCTCGAGCCTCCTGTTACGCCTCAGGGACGGTTCTGCTACCACAGAGAAATGACACATTATTTTCTCTTCAGGAACTGCTCACAAAAATATGACCAGACATCCTGTGAACTGGCATTTTTTACCGATGAAATAAAAGCTTTATCAAATTGTTTATCCTTGGCAATACCTGGATAGAAATTACAATGCTGCAAAGACTGGCACCTTGGGAAAAACCCTAGGAAACAGCTAAATAAATAATCTAACAGAAAGAAGAAATCCTGAGCCAGGAAAGCTGTGGAAGCAAAGATTAACTTCCAGCAGAAATAAAGTCTGAAAGATGAGATTTCACCATTCAAAGAATGGTTTGTCATGAGCTACAAAAAAAATCTACAATTGTTCAGTTAAATAATAGCACATAAAAGCAAGAGGATGAAATCGGAAAGCCAGATTTATAATGAAGTCCCTCATTTGCTTTCTGCTTTCCCCACCCCTTGTGCAATTTCACAAGTGTGGAATTCCTAAAATCCCGCAGGAAAGGTGTGCACCCTGCTAGGACAGACAGAGCGATGCCCCCACAGCAGGGCAGCCAGCGGGAAGGAATCCAGATGTGCAGCTGCATCTGCATTCTCTAATACACCCTGTGCCCTTTATTAGCACCTAGATTGATTTGATTAATTTGATTCAATAGGATCTCACCGATCAGAACTTTTTGCTGGAGGTTTTTAGGGTATTTTTTGGTTCAGTATTTTTTCTGGGGGAAGGGATTTTTTGGTTGGTTGGTTTGGTTTTGGAGGTGGTTTTGTTTGTTTTAACACACATACACACACACAGAGAGGAAGGTTTGTGAACAATTATTTCCAAAACCAGGACTCACAGCTCGCTGTAGGCTTTGGATTCATTCCCCCCATCCCTGGCAAGCAGCGATGTGAGCAGGGATGGGAACCGGGATGCTGGAGGGGGGACCGGGATCGGGAGCGGCCGCCCCGCCGGGTTTTTGCGGAGAGGGGCTGCCCAAACAACGGGATTCCCTCTGCCTCCCGAAAAACCTGCCCTGCAAAACGCCCCGCGAGATGGGCACTGCCTGAAGGGATCACCGTGGCCGCTTTTCCTCTCGCTCCCCTCCGGTCCGGGCAGCCGTGGGTGCTCCGGGCAGCGCCCGGGACGGGGCAATCTCTGCACCGCAGACATTCAGCCTGTAAAACCATCACCAGATAATCCTCCGGAGGAGAAATCCGTCATTAGAGCAAACCTCAAAGAGGAGGAAGGAGAGGAAGGCTCTGAGTGATGGAGCCGGCGCCCATCCTGCGGGCGCTGCCTCGGGCGTTCCGAGGGATCCGAGCGCTTTTCTCCAAAGTTCAGTTCAAACATAAACTTTTTATCTTTTGATGATCCTTTTAATATTAAATAATCTCTTTTTTCCCCCTCCCACAATGAAGCAGTCGGACATTAAAAAGATAGCGAGTGCATTTTAAAGATGTTTCCACTTTATAAATCAAACTTTCTTGGCAACAACATGATTTCTATTTCAATGCTGAGCTTGCTGTGTTCTCCTAATATCTCCTACAGATCAGTCCTAAGAGGGAGTAATAATCCCCTAAAGTAATTCTCAGCCCTAAATTCTCGGTAATTTATAGTTGGCTCGTTCTGTGGAGCCCTACAAAGAACGAAATAAATGACTCCCCCTTTCCCCCCCAAACAAGTTATCAATATTTGCCTTGTTTATACAAAAAAAAGCTATTTTACACCACTGCCATGGAATTAACGCTTCCGCTGAGCTTTACATTTCCTCTCCATTGAGTGAACTTGTCATTAAAGTCACCCCCCCCCCTTTTTTTTTTTTTTCTTGGTTGTCTGAAATTTAAAAATCAAGCTTCCATTTCTTTTCGTTTGTGCCCCTTGAGGTCAGACAGACCTACATTTAAGTGATTTCAACTAACGGCATTCAGGGGCATCTCTGTGCCTGCTGGGAGGGGGATTAGAGTCCTGATTAGTGCCTGCAATTAGCCGCTTTCCCTCTTTCCACACCCCCCAATACTAAATGCAAGTGCACACAAATCTCCATTAACCATCGTTTTTTTAATTGGCTCAAGAGGAGGTTTATTATAGCGACTCCCTATTTAAATAGCCTGGGTAAAATAAAATCTGCATGAAGTAATAATTTTCCTTTTGTCCTTTGCATGGGGATTAGCAGCAGACTGCAGCTCGTGGGCTGCCCTGCCCTCAGCACGGCCACGCGTGGCATCGCTATGAACCGATTTAACCACGGGATTTAAATGGTTCGATTTTTCATGCTAATTATTTTGTATATTTTTGCTATCCGTGCTGCGGCAGACCCCAGTCCGGGCCGTGGAACCGAGCCGGGTCCCGGCACCGGCAGCACGGGGGCTGCGCTGAAAACACCGATAAAAGCCCTCATCCTGTATTTGACACCATTTGCAGCTGAACGCCATGAAAAAAAAAAAAAAAAAAAAGGTTCTTTTGTTCTGTATTATTCATCACTTTTCAGTGATGAAATAATTTCAGCCACTTCCTTCATTATTTTTTAAATTCAAAACTGTTTCTTCAAAAAAATTAAATTTTTTTAGCTCGATGGCACTGCACTAAATTTCGCCAATGGAGAATTTGGTTCGGGTAACGTAAAAAACCCAAATTTTTGCACATCTTGTGGTCTACTCCCCATCCCACCTCCTGAAAGGTGCACTGCCAGCTCCACCGGACAAGGAATGTGGGACTGAGCCCTGTCCATATGGAGCTGTTTAAACAAGCCACGTTAAGACTTTCAGAGAGATAACCTGCACGTTTGGGATGCTTAGGATCCAGAATTTGGTACAGATATTACACGTCTCTGCACAGACACACTCAGGTACTATAAATTAAGGGTGAAATATCTGAGGTCTTGATCCCCTCATCTGAGCCGACTTAGGGAGCAGACCCATCCAAATGAACCCGGCTCTTCCCATCAGCAGACGCTGCAGAACAAGCCCTGAGATTTTATACGCCAAAATAAGGTGTGAAAAGGACAGAGTTGCCTGCACCATCACTCCATAAACAGCCACAGAGCAAATAAATGGAAGATTCCTGGGACATACACCCCTTCTCCAGGGGGAATAATGGGAATTTCTTGCTTATTAGAGTCTGGCTTCCCCACACCGAGCAGCTGCTGCACCGAGCAGCACTGCCGGGACCGAGGAAAGCAGAGGGAAAGTGCTCATCAATCCCAAAAATCCAGTGCCGAGAGTTGGGTTCTGTGTCTCACAGTGTGAGCAGCAAACATGGGAGAAAAGTCACACACACACTCCATGAGCATCCACGGCTGCTCTGCACGAAGGACCAGAGAACACAGAGAAATAAAACTGCATAGAAATTATTTGTGGGTTTTTTTCTCTGTTTTCTCCCCGTTATTTGAGTGTCTGGCTGCACAGCTCGCTAGCAGGGTGTAGAACAAGCAATGGCAGGGCACGGCACTCGGCTATGCTGGAATTAAATGTTAATGCCTCAATTTTTCCTTCCCGAGGCGAGCCCGCTGCCGCCGAAGCCAAGGGCAGATACTTTGGTGCCCACAGTGACACCCGGCTAATTTTCTTGGCAATTAGCTTATTCCTGAGCCGGTGATGGTCTGAGGTTTAATTCTGATTCTTAATTTTCTGACATTAATTCTGTCATCTCCCACCAGAGCAGCCCGGGCAGGACAGGAGCCCTGAGCAGAGGCAGGGCTGGGTTCTCCCAGCAACTGAAGCTTGTGAGGCTCTGGTCTCCCGCCCTGGGTGTGCACACTGAGACGGCTTTGTTTTGATAAAAATAATTATTTGTTTCCAAGGGAAAACAGATTTTTTTTTTTTTTTTACCCAGAAATGGCACCCGTTTCTCTTTCAGTTTTGAGATTAAAAGAACCTTCGTACTGCTAAAATTTTGGTGTAGGGTGTCCCAGCATAGATCTTAGTGCATGGCACAGAAAAGGGAAGGGGGTTTGCTTTTTGGGAAAAAAACAAAAAACCACCCAGCATAATTATGCTAATTTCCTAATTAAAATAATAATAATTAAAAAAAAACATTATCAGAGAGAATAGGGACTAAATGTTCCAAACGACTCCACAACATTTTCTTGCATCTACATTCCAACTGCCACACTCAAACACATGTACAGTTTACACTGAAAACAATTATCTTACTGAAATCTGCAATCACAATTATATTTTTAAATGCCACTGACTGTGGAAGTTCTGGCAAATAGGACATTTCATAGAGATCAGAAGCAATACACGTTTGCAGGGAATTTTCACTAACCTGCCTGCTTTGGTTATTATCATTTCCGTGCCAGCTTCATGAAATTTCTTCCATAGCTCCTTCTCATGGAGATAGACTTTGATATTTTCTATTGTCTGTAAAAAAATTAAGATAATGAGAACAGCAAGAAACGATGGTGAAAACCTGTGAGAAGGGCTGGGAAGGGCCGTGGAAGGGCTGGGGTTGGGGACACTCAGGGCCCGCGCTGCAGCCGAGGCTCCGGGCAAAGCCACCAGCCTGTGCGGGAAGAGGATGGAGTCTCAAAAATTCCGCTGTCCTTTGCCAAAAATAAGAGAAACAAACGGAGGCCGGTTTTAATTGCAGAATTTCACAACCAGGCAGGACACTGCGGCTAAATGGAATTTTTTTCTTTATTTTTTTTTTTTCTTTTTCCTAGGGGAAAAAAAGTCTGCTGGGGTAGACTCGCCCTAAGCCTCCCAAAAACCGGGGCCAGGAGCAGCCGCGGGGACAAAGGATCCGTGTCCAGGAACGCTTTGTCGTTCCGCGGGATGCCGGGGACATGGCATCCGTGCGCGGAGTGAAGGCACAGAAGCCGCGTTTTATTTAGGGATGGAAAACCCCCAGCGAATTCCCCGCCGGGCCGCAGCCCCGGGAGGAGCGGCGGCAGCTCGGCCACGGGTCGGGCCCTGCCGGCCGCGGCTTTCGGTGCTCGGATTCGCCTTTTACCGACTGACGCACCGACGGCGGGCTGTGGACAGGGAAAATAAAATTATAACAATAAAAAATGAAACCAAAGAAAGCTCCCCTCCCCGTATTGTCACCGGGGGAGATGCGCGGCGGCGGGCCGGGCTGGTGGCGGGGGTGAGGGCGCAGCAGGGCAGGACGCGGGGCCGGACGGAGCGTACCTGCTCGGGGTCGGGGAGCTGCGGGCTGCTGAGCGGCGTGCTGCTCCCCCCGGCTACGCCGAGCACGGGGGAGCCGGCGGAGGTGTCCGCATGGCCGGGCGCGGGGGCTGTTGGAAACCCTTCCTCGGTTTCAGACAGGCTTTTCTCCTGGAGCATTTCCTTGGGGGAGAGAGGTGCAATGTTAGCTCGCCTCATCGGGGCTCACGTCCAACCCCTGCCCCTCGCCCAGCCCCGGGCACGACCACCTGCGAGGTCAGGCTCTCCTGGCCAGGCCCGTTCCTCGGGCGGTGGCACTCGGCGACACGGGATGTGACACCGCCGGGCCCGGGTGAAAATGCTGTGCCTGCCAGCCCCCGCGGGGAGCTGCCCACGCGTGGCTGCGCTCCCGCTTGAGGCCAGGGCAGCTCAGGTCTGAGTGGCCGCAGCCCCCCAGCCCGATTCCTTCTCCCCTCAGGTACCCCTCGGGGAGGGCAGCCCGGCCCGGTCGGTCTCTCTGCCCCGTCCCGTCGGGGCTGCGGGGCTCCGCGACGAAGCGCTGCGGCGGAGCCGGACGGTGTAAACAGGGGGAGTGCTGGGCTCCGAGATAAAAGGGCCCCTCTTAAACTTGGACGGAGACTGGGAAAAGCCAATAAAGATAAGGCCTGACAGCTCCGCCGGGGCTGCCGCGCATCAACGCCGACTTTTACAGCGCGGAGGGACGCGGCCGCCCGCCCCGCTTGACGGACAGACAGACGGACAGACAGACGGACGGGCAGCGGCGGCGCGGAGGGGGAGCAGCTCCGAGGGGGTGCGGGGTGCCCATCCCGGGTACTGAATCCGGCGCTGACCGCGGACCTGCGGCCCCGAGGGAGCGCTCCTGACCCCGGCCCGCAGCCCCGGTCCCTGCCCCGAGCCGCCAAGGCCGAGCCGCTCTTCGGGACAGGGGGAGAAAGGGGCTGGGAGCCCAAACTGCAGCTCCAGCAGAGCTCCAGGGAGAGCGAGACTGGCACCCCAAGCTCCAGCTCCAGCAGAGCTCCAGGGAGAGCGGGACTGGGACTCCCAGCTCCATTCGCACCAGAATTCCAGGGAGAGCTCCCGCCGAGGAGCCGGACAGCCAGCCCGGCTATGTGCGAGCGGACACACACACTCCAGCGACCAGCCGCAATCCCCGGGGCAGGGAGCACCAAGCAGGGAGCACGGTACGGGGCTCAATGCCCCGAGAACTCCACCGGTCCCTCCTCTCGGCTCGGGGTGTCGGGACGGGACGGCCCCAGCCGAGGCGCGGATGGATGTGTCCCGGTGTCCAACCGCAGAGCGGAGCCCGGTGACCGGAGGGCACAGGTGGGAGGGAGGTTGTCCGCGGCGAAGCCCGAGGGCAAGGCTCCAGCCCCGGACCGGGACCGGTACACCCGGTACGGAGCAGGTTGGCTGGCGGGGAGCAGCAGGGCAGGCCGGCGGCGGTGTCCCGCCCCAGGCCGGGGCTCGGCGGGCTGCGGGGAGCCCCGCACTCTTGGACCCCCCGCTCCCTCCCGTCCTTCCCCCCCGCACCCCGGGAACTCACACGGCCGGCCGAGGGGCAGGAGGCGCAGCGGGGGGCTCCGGGCTTGGCCTGGGGGCGGCTGCGGCATGAAGGGCATCCGCGGGGTGCTCAGGCCGGGAGCGGCTCCGCGGCCCCCGATGGCAGCGGCGTGCGGAGCATCCCCCGCTGCGCGGATTCACTTTCCCTTGATCTCGGCGGAAAATGTTCCATAAAGATCCAGTTTGGGGCCTTTCGACTCCCTCCCTCTTTGTCTCCCCCCCCTCCCTTTTCCTTCCCCTCCTGTTGCTGACGTTGCCGCTGTCAATCACATCCCCTTACACCGACTCTGGCCCGCTCCGCCCGGCCCGGCCCGGCCCGCCCGGCCCGGCCCCGCGCCCGCCCGACGGTCCGCACCGGGGGGCACCGGCGGGGGCCGCGGCCGCCCGGCCCCCGTGCACCAGACCCGGCCGCGGCCTTCCCCGGCCCGCCTCGGCGCTGCGCCGGGCCTGGCGGCCAGGGGAGCCGCTCGTTGCTCCAGGAGGAGCACGGGGAGAGGGGACATCCTCGGCACCACCGCCCCCTCACAGCCCCGACGGGCCCGGGGCTCTCCGCTGCCCGCCGTGCGGCCGGGCAAGGCCGGGGCTGCTGCGGGGCGCATAGGCCGCGCTTGGAAGGGCACCGGGCTCGGCGGGACTCCGCGGCGGGAGCCGGGATGGCCCGGGAGAGGTGATGGGGAAGAGCCGGAATCACGCCTGGGCAGGGCTCCCGCCTCAGGAGGGGCCCACGACCCCCGTGGGGTTGCTTGACCCTGCACTGCAACCAAAGCGTCCATGCCTGCCGGCCTGCGGCCTGCCTTGTCTGCGTGTCTCCCTTGCGAGCCCGGGAACGAGGACAGGGCTCCCCCTCCTCTCCATGTCGCGACAGAGAGCCCCGAGCTTTTCCACAAGGCAGGCAGGAGCTGGGCGGCCACAACAACGCTTCGGCCAGGCCAGGCCGTCAGGGCCGCCCCGAGGTGAGGGCGCTGAGGGCAGCGGCCCCTCAGAGCAGCCCGCTGGAGCGCCTCACGCTGCGGCACGGGCACCGCCTGCTCGGGGCTCCACCGCCCCGCCAAACCCCCACATCAGGAGCAGAACCCGTGTGGGAGAGTTCCCGAGTGCTGTCGCGACTCAAAGGGCCACTTCAGCTCGGCTGTCGCGATTACCAAGCCACACACGCGCGGAGCCCCGCAGCGCTGCCCTCCCTGCGCTGAGCCGCCCCTCACACCCGGACCGCGCCCTACCCCCTGTACACAGGCCTGTCGCGACAGCTCCACCTCTGTGCCCCGCGCTATGTCGCGACAGCAGCAGGCTCTGCGCTTCACCGAGCCCCTGCTGATCCCCTTACCCGAGCCGGGGGTCCCGGGCGGGGCCGAGGCGCCGCTCGCTCCCGCAGCGCCGGGCTCACAGGGACCCCGCCATGGGCCGGCGGGGCTGGGGTCTTACCGGCCTTTTCTTGAAAGTGAATTTAAACCCCAACTCACTCCCACCGTCACGTGGTGCCGAAATTGGGAACAGGAGCAGAATAAAAAAGTAAAGTGGGGTCAACCTCGTAATGAACCTTTTCCCCACTCCTACCAAAAAAAAAAAAAAAAAAAAAGGAAAGGAGGGGGGAGGAAAAAAAGGGACCCGAGCGGGCCGGGAGATGCGAGGCGAGCGGATCTCGCAGGAGCCTGCGGGATGGGACAGGTGAGACCGGGGCGAGAGGGGGCCCGCGACCGTCCTGTCCCCGCACAGACCGAGCCGGGACCGAGGACGGGCTAAGGCTGAGGAGCCCTCCCGGCGAGGGGCAGCGACAGGCCCGGCTCAGCCCGGGCTCCCGGGAGCTGCCCCGCTCGGTTCCCCGCCTGTCCCGCGGTCGCAGCCGCCCCTGAGCTGCGGGCCCGGTCCGTGCCCAGCCCCGCGGGCACCGCACCCGCCCCTGGCTTGGGCCGCTCTGTCCCGCCGCCGGTTCCCCCCCGAGGGCCGGGCTCTCCCCAGCGGGGAGGCTGCGGGGCTCCACGACAAGGTGAATTTTGGTGTGACTCTGCAGCCGGTACCGGGGGCTGGGCTTTGTCTGGATGGGTCTCCCTTCGCGGCAAAGGGAAATGCCGGCCGCTGCCTGAGCTTACCGATGTTAAATACAGTATTTTCCCCCTTGACAAAACGGGAAAAAAAAAAAAAAAAAGAAAGAAAAAAAAAAAAAGGCGGAGGGGGCAATCCCAGGTGGGGAGGACTTAATTAAAGCAAATCCAAAGACTCTCAGGCCTCCTTCCAGCCTCAGACTCCCCCGTCGGTGCGTACGGGGATGCAGGAGCGGTGGGCTCGGGCCCATTCCCCGCCGTGCAGCCCTGCCTGAGTCCGGCTCACCGTGCCCTGAGCCCGGGCAGCACCTGCCCGTAGCGGGCTCCGGGATCGGTACCTCCGGGGCTGCACGGATTTCCTCATCCCCCGAGCGGGGGGACGGGGCTAACACCGAGGGGTGAAACGTCCTCGTCGCTGCGGCAGCTCCGTGCGCTTCCCGAAGGCTCCGGCAATTGACGGCGAGGCGAAACCAGCCCGACTGTCATCACCCGGCAGATAAACGGCCGGATCCCCGACGGCAGCGTGGTTCTATTCACGGCTCATCACCGCCGAGCCAAGGGAGCAGCGGGAGGATAAGCCCCGCTTTCAGGGACCAGCGCTCCAAACCACTCATCACTGTCACCGAGCTCTCTCATGCCTTGGCCCTAAATACCGGCGATTAATAAAAGTTTACTGTCGCTTTTCTCCGAAGTTACACTCAGTCCGCGGGCCGGGGAAACCTGAGTGGGATTCGTTCCGCGGGATGCTCCAGCGCTCTTCCAGCCGCTGCCCCTTTCCGCGGCTCCTCTTGCCCCGAAGTTTCTGCTTCTCTTCCCCCTCAAGAAAAGCTGCCAGCCACGACGGAGACGAGGGGAGAAGCGGACCCCGAGCCCGCGGCCCCGACGGCGGCTCAGAGCCCCGTGCGAGGCGGAGGGCGGCGGGGGGAAAGTCGGGAGCGAGCCTCGACCGCGTGGGTTGGCATCGATTTACTGACTTGAGAGGAAACTCACCGGTTCACACAGCCGAGAAGCGTTTGAATGGATGAGTACTGAGAAAAAGTTGCCGAATTTGGCCAGTAACAAGGCTGGAAGAATGGAAGGCTAATAGTGAGTTATGCATGGACTCGGGAGGAATTACACAGCATCAGAGACTTGCTTCTAAACAGCGACAGTGCCAAATTTCTAATAACTGTGTAATATGCTTATTTATACCATACAAGGACTTACAAACCTCATTGTGCATAGCAGCTGGGTCATATTTCTTTACCCTTCCATTCCTCAGGCTCTTTTGCCAAGAGACTGGTACCAAACACTTCTAGGCTGAAAGGAAAACACAAAATTTAATCGCAAAGAAACGATGACAAGGAAGCGTGGGTAAGATACGGGCTGACGTGCAGCCCTTTAATCTTAAGCATCTGCCTAAAATAGATGCACTAAGGGGAAATTGGAAATATGCACCGTTTGAAATGGATGCGATTCTCTGCTTCTAAATCGTTCAGCCCAATAATCCACATGTATTTCCCTGACCTGGGCACGTTTGTAGGCTCTAAGGCTTTGTTTTAAACTGTTAAGTAAATATTTTAACGAATGTTTTAAAACGTTGTAAACGAATGTGCCGCTCAGTCTCACACCAAGCTCTGCTGGAACCGGGTAAATCAAACGAAGAACCATATTCCGATTTGTTTTTAAATATTTGGGGGGCTATTTGTTAATTTTGTCCCGGCGTACCAAGCGTACTCACCCGTCGGAATTTCAACCAAAGCTGTGCAAGATGCAGCCCGGAAATGTTAAACCTGTATTCAGAAATCATTAAACTATGAACGAATATTCATATATGTGACATTTTTTTAAAGCTTAAGTATTTTAGAAATAAAAGCTAACAATTATCGAAGTGGTTTAATTTTTTTAACTAGCTCTAATTTTGTCCAAATGCTCTGGATTTTTATTTTTGAATATGCTCATTTTTTATTTTTGAAAGCAGCATCTAAAAAAACTAACGTTTCAAATCAATTGTACATTTTTTGAAGGAAGAGATTTTACCATGAGCTTGGCAAAGTCTTTGTAAGAATGAATAGTCCAGAGACCACTGCCCTGCTGAGCATCAGACCGAGATAGTCCCCAGTGGTATTTCCCAGCCAAAGCTCTGATTTAACTTCAAGATTTACGTACATACATATAGGAAGAAAAAAAAAAGGAAAAAAAAAGAAAGAAAGAAAAGCTCCATCTATTTTGCAATAACTTTTTTTTTTTTTTTTTTTTTTTTAAAGAAAAGAGCCCTAAAGCTCTGGAGGATGGGAGGAGGCAAATGGAGCTGGAATGGGAATTATTTAAAAAATAAAAAGAGTACAAAGCCCAGCAAGCAGAGCTGGTGATTTCTCTGCAGCCCAGCTCTGCTTCCTGCACCCACCAAACTCTGCTGTGGGATGGGGCCAGGCAGGCCCTGCCACCGCTGCTGTGCCACTTGCAGAGCTCAGTGCCCCTGGGCACAGCATCCCTGGTGGCCACTGCGAGGCCTGGGGGCACCCGGGAGAGAAGGGACTCAGATGTGTGCATGGAGAGGGGACAGCAGCCCCAGGGCAGCTCAGTGTCCTGTGTGACCTCGGTGGAGTGGAAGGAGGACATTGGAACCTCCTGGGTGAAGCTGCTCTGGAGCACCAGGGCAAAAATGAGAGGCACCAACCCACCAAGGGACAGCACAGCAAGTCACTTGTCACAGGCAGGAAGAAAAGAGGACAGCCTTGGTTTAAGCCTTGCATCAGAGCAAGAAACTGCCTTAAGGTACTGCAAATCCAGGCCAGTGCCCCGGCAGAGCAATGTGCTGTGGCTCTGCACGGCGTCCTTGGCGTCATCCACCCTTCACCGTGCAGGGATGAGAGACTGGCACAGTCCTGCCCACAGCGATTATTCAATTTGTGCTGGGCATGAGGATGAGGTTATTGCTATGGGAAATCGCTGTCCTCCAGGGTAAACAGAGGGAAATGCTGGTCTGGGTGAGAAATTCCCAAGGCAAGGAATGAAGGCAGCCAGCTGCCAGCTCTGCCTCTGCCCTGGAGCTGGGCACAGATGCTGTCCAAGCCCCCGGTGTGGCACAGTGTGATGCTCTGACTGAGCAACCAGGGCCAGTGGGGCCAAAGAGTCTTGTTCAAACATCAGAGCCCCCTCAGGGGCCAGGAGCCCTGACCCACAGCCTGAGCAAGGCAGCACAGCAAGCCCTCACACCCCACCAGAGCCCCTGGCACTGCCCAGAGGGAA